CTACCAAGAGCTGGGAAAGCGGGAATGGCGCAGGAGGACGGAATCTCGCGATAATTGCCCCCTGTTCTCGCGGTCTCACGATAGGTGGGACGAGACGCTCGTTTTCCAAGCCATGTGGCCATTGGTCGAGAGCAGCGCTTCCGGCCATACTGGCCCCGCCCACATCCGACCCTCGCTTCCGGCTCCGGCTCCGGCTCCGGCTCCGGGCTTGCTGTCAGGAAGGAGTACCTTTTGCTTTTGCGGGGTGAGGGTGTGATTTGTCCGGCTCCAACCTCAGAGGTCGCCGGTGACTACTCTGCGCTCTCGTTCGTGCATCCATTCAGGCGTCTGTGCACGCATTGAATGTATACGTTGAGGGATTACAACAATAATTGATGCCGGGCGCTTGTTGGGTTCCAGGCGGCGTGCTAAGAGCTGCGCATACCTTACCTCTTTTAACCCTCACAGCAGTCCTATGGCACAGGTACCATGATTCTACCCCTTTGACGGGTGAAAAACGGAGGCCGGGTGGGTTTCGGCACCATGGCCAAGGTTAGGGAGCAAGCTGTGAGCCTGGGCGCCGGGTTTTAAGGGCCCGGCGGTGCGCGCTGATAGGTTCCTGCCAGAGAGGAGGCGGTGACCTGGTCTCTGAAACACCTGTTGCTAGAAAAGACAGTGACAGCTTAGTCATTTAAATATTGAGGCGGTTCCTAGCGTGGCTGAATAGGCTGTGCATAAATATTCCTTCAATGTCTGTATCAGGGAATACGGACAGCAAAGGAAGAGAGCTTTATGTTCAAAAAAAAAAAAAGAAAGAAAAATCCAAGCATTGTTAGGGAACTTTAAAAAAACACACGAATATTTTAAATACCTTGTTTGGTAACGTGGCCACTTTCTTATTTTATTTTTTAATACATTTTTATTGCTTTCAGAGGGGAAGAGAGAGAGAGGAACATCAATGATGAGAGGGAATCATGGATCGGCTGCCTCTTGCACGCCCCACACCTGGGGATGGAGTCCGAAGCCCTGGCAGGGACCCTGATCAGGAATCCAGCCGTGACCTGGTTCACAGGTCGACGCTCAACCATTGAGCCATGTAGGCTGGGCGAGAATGCTCCTGTTTTCAAAGAAGTCCTGAATATAGTGTTGAAATCTTCCTGGAGCCTACCCTCAGTTTCTAGGGGAAAAGTCGATATGAAAAAGATTACCTAACACCTCTCTCTTTTTTTTTTAATTTAAAAACCAGAGGATAATGCCTATAAAGCTATGCAAGAATCACAGGAAACCCACATATCCAAGTATTTAGATGAAATTGTGGCTGCTGTCAGCGTCACGCCGAGAAAGAAGTTCGCCAGCAGGCTGCCTCATTCGGTCCTCTTCCAGCCTCCGCGAGAGCAACTCCAGCTCTGCGAAGAGAAAGCAAAGTCCTACTCCAGCCGGCACGAGGTGAGGAGCCTTCCTTCTCCATCCCTGTGCCCGGGCCATTGAGAAGGGCAATGGCTTAGGTGACGTTCCCAAGAAAATGTGTATGTATGTACATGCACAATGGAATATCATTCAGCCATAAAAAGAAGGAGATTCTACCCTCGCCCGTGTGGCTCAGTAGTCGAACGTCGACCTATGAGCCAGAAGGTCACTCTTTGATTCGCCGTCAGGGCACATGCCCTGGTTGCGGGCTCCATCCCCAGCAGGGGGTGCGCAGGAGGCAGCCGACTGATGATTATCTCTTACTAGAGGCCCGATGCACGAAATCTGTGCAAGGGGCTCGGCCCTCGCAGCCCCCGGCTCCATCAGAAGGTCGTCCGGAAGGATGTCCGGAAGGACGTCCGGAAGGTCGTTGGGCTGTCTGGTCTAATTAGCATATCACGCTTTTATTATTATAGATTGATGTTTCTATCTCTCTCTCCCTCTTCTTTCCTCTCTGAAATCCATAAAAATATATTTAAAAAACATTTTTTTAATAGTAAGCCTGTTTTCTTTTCCTTACAGTATAAGCAGGCGATCCAGGAGCTCGTCCGCTGCGTAGCGTTGACCAGGATCTGCTATGGCAGCTGCCATTGGAAACTAGCAGAGGCGTATGTTAATCTGGCTCAAGGCTACCTCCAGCTGAAAGGTGAGCTCAGCTCAGACCCAGGAGGCTCAGTTGGTTAATATATAATGTATAAAAAAAGAGCAGGAAGATTTGGACCCTTGGAGTTTTGATTTTTAGGGTCTTAAAAGTAGGGTTCTTGGGCCCAGCTGGCATGGCTCAGTGGTTGAGCATTGACCTATGAACCAGGAGGTCAGTTTGATTCCCGGTCCAGGGCACATGCACAGGTTGCAGGCTCGATCCCAAGTGTGGGGCGTGTAGGAGGCAGCCGATCCATGATTCTCTCTCATCATTGATGTTTCTTTCTCTCTCTGCCTCTCCCTTTCTCTCTGAAATCAATAAAAACATATTTGAGAAAAATAGATAAATAAGAAGACCATTGTCAGGGAGAAATGATCTTATCTTGACTACAAGGGGGTGTGGGGGTGTGTGGAAATTTCATCTTCTGTACTAAGTATAAAACACTTTGGTTGCTACAGTCATGACAGTATTTCCTGCTGCCCCAGTACCTCTCCCCTTGACAGTAAGTAGGTCAAGGAGACCTCATTGGATTCCCTGACCGTAAGTTATTAACTATATTCTTGCCCACTGAGATGATAGAGAAATTGAGACTTCCTCTGCTTTGTCCCCAGGAACGTCCCTGCAGGCCAAACACCATGCAGAGAAAGCCAGAGAAATCCTCACCAACTCCATCGTGCCTTCCTGTGATGACGACACGGCTGTTTTCAGGTGTTCCGTTGAGCTATTCCATACCCTGGGGAGAGCCCAACTCTCCCTGCAAAAGTATCCTTTTGGCCCTTTTTGTTGTGGGTCCGTGGGGAGAGCGTTGGCCTGCGGACTGAAGGGTCTTGGGTTGGCTTCTGGTCAAGGCCATGTACCTCGGTTGCAGGCTCGATCCCCGGCCACGGTTGGAGCTTGTGAGGGAGGCAACCAATCAATGTGTCTCTCTCACATCAATATTTCTCTATCTCTCTCTGTCTCTCCCCCTCCCTTTTACTCTCTCTAAAAAAAAAAAAAATCAGTGGAAAATATCCTGGGGTGAGGATTAACAACAATAAAAAAGTATCCTTTGGCCTCTGCTTACAAAGAGACATACCGCTCATGTTCCTTATATTTAACTAGAGGCCCAACGCACGAAATCCATGCACAGCTAGGGTCCCTTGCGGCTGCCGGCTGGGACCTCCCTTCCCCCGGCTGCTTGCCACCACCGCCGCCAGCCGATTGGCTGGCGGCCCCGCCCTGGTCGAACTCCTGGTCGAGGGGACAATTTGCATATGAGGCTTTTATTATATAGGATTCTCAAAGCTGACAGGTGACCCGGGAAGGGTGATGGGAAGTGTAGAGAGCCCAGGATGTCCAGGAACTAGGGTCCCGGAATCCAGAACCAAGGGTCACGTTTCCTGAACGCAGCTCAGATTTAAGGAAGCCGCAGAGAACTTGGCGAAAGCAGAGAGGCTTTCAAAGGAGCTGCTGCGATGTGGAAGGATCGTGAAGGAAGAGTGGATAGAAACCCAAGCTCGGATCAAACTGTCATTCGCGCGGTAGGTTTCCAGGGCAGGACTTTTCGTAAGCATGACGGCTGGCGGTTCTTTGCCGGAAGACTCTCTCCAGGCAGGAAGTTTCTTATTTTTAAAATCTGCCTTTATTGATTTCAGAGAGGAAGGGAGAGTGAGTGAGAGAGAAATATCAATGATGAGAGAGATTCATTGATCGGCTGCCTCCTGCACGCCCCACTCCTGGGGATCTAGTTTTTAGTATCTATAACTTAGTGTATAAATTACCCTTTAAGCCAATGATTACTCACGTGATCTGTGTTTTAGTTCGAAGATATATGAGATTTTTTTCCCCAGGACATTTGGGTGCTATTCCTATCTCATTTTATGGTATTATAGACAGGAACATATTTGTGTGGTAGGGACTCTGCAATTTACTGAAGCTTCCTTTGGGATCTAGTTCAGGGCCAAGTTTCGGGAAGGTTCCCAGGGAGCTACAAGGGAAATTGTGTTCTTTAATTGTCGTGTGTAAGGTTGCAATAAGTCTGCCTTAGGGGTGACGCAAATTCATATTTTTGTTTTATCTTTTGCGACTTTGATGTATTAGATTTGAAGGTAAGTGCGCTTGAATTTTGACGCACAATTATTGGGCTGTTTAGTGCTGTCCATGGTTCTGCCAGTCATTGTTTTATGCAATCTGATATATTCTATTGGGTGGGAAGTTAAAACAGCAGCATATCTTCTTTATTATTTTTATTTATTGACTTGAGAGAGAGAGAGAGATTGGTGAATTTCAGAGGGAAGGTGGGTGGGTGAGGAGAGACTATCGGAGAACTCATATGCATATATGCATAACCCATGGACACAGACAATAGTGTGGTGAAGGCCTGGGAGAGGCAGGGCCAGGATGAATGGGGAGGTAAGTGGAGGAAAAAAGGGGGGACATCTTTTTTTTTTAAATATATTTTATTGATTTTTTACAGAGAGGAAGGGAGAGGGATAGAGAGCTAGAAACATCAATGAGAGAGAAACATCGATCAGCTGCCTCCTGCACACCCCCTACCGGGGACGTGCCCGCAACCAAGGTACATGCCCTTGACCGGAATCGAACCCCGGACCCTGAGTCTGAAGGCCAACGCTCTATCCACTGAGCCAAACCGGTCAGGGCGGGGACATCTTAATACTTTCAACAATAAAGATAAATTTGAAACACTAAAATAAAAAAATAATTTAAAAATAAGCTGATGGTTGCCTTTGGCAAGAAGGTAGAATAGATCAAATTGTGATATGTTCGTCCAAGGAAAATGATCAGAATGTTTCTATGCTTCATGTCATAGTGACTCTCACAAGTACAGTGTTTGTGTAAGAAGCCAGACCCCCAAAGAATTCATCATACCGTCTGATCCCATGTTTGTAACAGGAGATGGTAGTGGTTGCAAAAGGCTGCTAGTCCAGAATTGCTCCCTGCCCAGAAGTAGGCATTCTATCGTGCCCTGTAAGACAGGAAGTATGCAAATCAGAGGCCCCGGATCTGATGTTTGTCGCCATCTGTTGAGATCTGACTAATGTTATTTGTGCTTCATGTTGAACAACGTTGCTGCAAAGTCAAGTATAAATGCCTTCCTCCCACCCAGAATCCAGCACCTCCTCTCCGAGTGCTCTCCAGACTAGCGGTACCAAATCTCGCCAGCAGGTGGCGTGCCTTGTACGCATCTGTCCCGAATGCCTGTGAGTCCCCTTTCTCAGCTGTCCTACAGTTACCTTGTCTTTAGGGGAGTTGTTTTAAACTTCGCTACTTCCTTCTCCATCCTGAACCTTCACCTTGACCCAGTTACTGGAACTCGCATGTTTCAACTGATGGTTTTCATGTCATCGCTCGGCTTTGTTTCCTGACTGAAGTGTGACTGTTTCGCCCACACTGATCTGCTCTAAAAGCAATGAGGCTTTGCCCTGGCTGGCGGCGTAGCACAGTGGTTAGAGTGTTGGCCTGTGCACCAGAGGGTCATGGACTGAAGTGTGACTGTTTTGCCCACACTGATCTGCTCTAAAAGCAATGGGGCTTTGCCCTGGCCGGCCAGTGTAGCTCAGTGGTTAGAGTGTTGGCCTGTGCACCAGAGGGTCATGGGTTCCATTCCCATCAAGGGCATGTGCCTTGATGGTGGCAGGTTTGATCCCCGTGCGGGAGGCAGCCAGCCAATCAATGTGTCTCTCTCACATCGGTGTTTCTCTCTCGTGCCTTGATGGTGGCAGGTTTGATTCCCGTGCGGGAGGCAGCCAGCCAATCAGTGTGTCTCTCTCACATCGGTGTTTCTCTCTGTGTCTCTGTGCTCTCCCCTCCCCCCTTCCCTTCCACTCTCTAAACATCAATGGAAAAAATATCCCGGGGTGAGGCTAAAACAAACAAAGAAGAAAGCAAAGGAGGCTTTGGTTTGTGCATTTCTGTAGCTACAGTCCCAACCACAAGGGCCAGGTCCTGGAGGTGGAAGGCCCGGATAATCCCTCAGGCAGCTCTCACGGGATTTGTGTTTCTCTTAAAAGGGTATCTTTTAGGTGCATCCACCTCCTCCATCAGCCTCGCCTTTTATGGTGCCCGTCGGGCCAGGCCAGCTCTTTCCTCCTCGGGCAGGCAGATGAGTGCCGCAGAGTGACTCATGCTCCCAGCCTCCCAGCCCTCCCTGGGGCCTGCAGCTCCGTCCCTCCTACCTGTCCGCCGCTGTCCCAGCACCATTCCACCCAGTCGTTCTTACTCACTTTGGAGAGTGAATCCAACCCTGTGTTCCGGTTCCCGCAGCTTTTTGTTGTTGTTGTTGTTGTGTGTTTTATTAATCCTCACCCAAGGATATTTTTCCATTGATTTTCACAGAGAGTTGAAGGGAGGGGGAGAGAAGAAACGGATTGAATGATCCATTCTCATGAACATGAGAGTAAAACTTGTAAATTGCCTCCAAACTTTCCCTATTAGAAAAGCCATTTCCCTAATCCCTCTTCCGCACGTGTCTTTGGGCACTCGCACAACGTTATCTCTGAGGCGTGTGCCCAGCGCGGGACTGAGGTATGAGAGCCTGACTGGTGTGGCTCAGTGGTTTGAGCGTCGACCTATGAACCAGGAGGTCACAGTTCGATTCCCAGTTGGGGCACATGCCTGGATTGTGGGCTCAATCCCCAGTGTGGGGCGTGCAGGAGGCAGCTAATTGATGATTCTCTCTCATCATTGATTCTCTCTCCCTCTCTATTCCTCTCTGAAATCAATAAAAAAAGAAAACCCAAAATAGAGTATGAGAGCTGTTTTATGAGCAGAGGGGTTCCCAGTTCTGGGGAAGCACAGTGGAGTGATCACAGAGTCACCCCACTCAATCTAGGACAGCGGTTCTCAACCTGTGGGTCGCGACCCCTTTGGGGGTCGAATGACCCTTTCACAGGGGTCGCCTAAGACCATCGGAAAACACATAGATAATTACATATTGTTTTTGTGATGAATCACTATGCTTTAATTATGTTCAATTTGTAACAATGAAATTGGGGGTCCCCACAACGTGAGGAACTGTATTAAAGGGTCACGGCATTAGGAAGGTTGAGAACCACTGGTCTAGGACGTCAGACCAGAGCCAGGACTAAGATGAGCAAGCCCGGTGCCCAGGACACGCACGCCATTTAAGGAGCCCTGGAAACAAGAGGCCGATTCCTGACTCCCTGGGCACATGCTTCATCCTTTATGAGCATGAGAAGAACAAGGTGATTTTTTTTTCTTTGCTCAAATATCTGTGGCATTGTCTGAGTTCCCGAGGTGCAGTTCGGTGGAAAAAATCTGCAGTCATTTTGAAACTATGCGACTTGCTCTAGATTCTAGACCAGAGGTTGGCAAACTTTTTCTGTAAAGTAGGGGTGGGGCGTTATTTTCTGCCCTGGGCCATGTGGATATTTATCACATCATCCGTGGGCCGTACAAAATGATCAGCTTAAAAATTAGCCTGCTCTATTTGGTCAAACGTAATTAACTCACCCCTAATGCCTTGGCAGGGCCAGACCTAATGATTTCAGGGGCCTTATAGGGACGTTCCAACCCACCCCTGCTGTAAAGGCCCAGGCAGTAAGTATGTTATGCTTCATAGGCCATATGCAAAAGCAGCCCTGGGCAGTGTGTAAACAAGTGGGCGTGGCTATGTGCCAATAAAACTTTATGTATAAAAACAATACATTTGACCCAAAGGCCATAGTTTGCTGACTTCTGTGTTCAGTTATGTAATCTTTGTCTCCCAGGAACCTTATTCTTTGGCTAAGTGATATGTTACCAACCCTGTGTTTCAAAGCCTCTTTCTGTCACCAGAGATGCCTGCAGGTTTTCTACGATGCTTTTAAAGCCCGATTATTATATTCTAAGCTTCTTTTTAAAAAAATATTTTTATTGATTTCAGAGAGGAAGGAAGAGGGAGAGAGAGAGAGAGAAACATCAACGATGAGTGAGAATCATGGATCAGCTGCTTCCTGCACGCCCCCCAACTGGGGAACGAGCCTGCAACCCGGGCATGTGCCCTGACCAGGAATTGAAATGCCAACGCCCAACCAACTGAGCCACACCCACCATGGCTAAATATCTCTTGATGAATTTGTGTACATATAGATTAGATATAAAGTTTTTGTATATCATACAAAGTTATTTTTGGAATTTGCTTTTTCGCTTAGAAAATGTAGTGGATGCACTTCTGCATGGGTAAGTATGGATCGACATTAACTTTAATGGCTAAGTAGCATTCCGCGGTGTATGGATGTACTTCCTGTAACCTGCTTGGACGATTGCCTATTGGTGCAATTTAAGTGCTTTGTTCTTTTCCACTATTACAAAGAATGCTTAGGTAAACATTCTTACATGCAGATCTTCTTGTCTTGCCAGAGTATCTCTTCAAGATAAATTACTATTGCCCCCCCCAGGCCAGTGTAGCTCAGTGGTTGAGTGTCGACCTATGAACCAGGAGGTCGGTTCTATTCCCAGTCAAGCCATATGCCTGGGTTGCGGGCTCGATCCCCAATGGGGGGTGTGCAGGAGGCAGCCGATCCATGATTCGCTCTCATCATTGATGTTTCTCTCTCTCCCTCTCCCTTCCTCTCTGAAATCCATTAAAAAATATGTATTTTTTAAAAAGTCATAGCTGGCTCGGAAACGAACCTGGACAGCAGGGATCGGAGAGCCAAATCCTCACCACCCAGACCACCCGTATTTCCAGCATTTTCCATTGCAATTAGTCTAAAAACCGTCACTTTGGTGTTTTAGGATGTACCAGGGCCGGAGGAAATCCAAAGAAGCTCTGCCCTACTACCAAGAGGCTTTAGAACATACGGAGAGCAGCAAAGGGGAAAAGAGTCTCGAATGTGTGCCGGTGCTGAGGGAACTGGCGGGCGCGGAACGGGCCCTGAGACTCCACGACGCGTCCATCAACCACTTCCTGCCGGTGAGCTGCAGCATGCTGGCCGCCCGAGCTGTTCCAGACCCAACACTGCTCTTTTTATTTTTAATATATTTTCATTGATTTCAGAGAGGAAGGGAGAGGGAGGGAGAGAGAGAGAAACATCAATGATGAGAGAGAATCATGGATCGGCTGCCCCCTGCACGCCCCCTACTGGGGATCGAGCCCACAACCCGGGCATGTGCCCTTGACCGGGAATCGAACCTGGGACCCTTCAGTCCGTGGGCCGATGCTCTCACCTCTGAGCTAACCGGCCAGGGCATACTTGTCAAGTATGACAGGCGACTTTTCTTCTTGTTTATTCTTGAGGTTCATAAAGATTAGAGAGTTTCAGTTAAGACTTGCCGATTCTTGCTCAGGAGGTCCCTTGGTGAAGTCAAAATAACATTGGATTTGGAATGGGAAGAGCTGATTAAAGAAGTCACTTAAGCCCTCGAGAAAAGAAAAGGAAAGGGAAGAAGACCCTCACCCACTTCACAGACCCACTCACAGGGTCAAGACGGACGGCGCTTTGTGAGCCGGTGGGCGTGTCCCCTGCACAAGCTCCTTTTATTTGTCAGCAGCCGCCATTAGACGTTTATCAAGGCCCCCTTTTCGCTAGGGACGTCCCCTAAGACACAGAAAGGTCCAGTGTGGCCACAGCTGTCGGAGGGAGCTCATGCCTCAGCCATTTATTCGATCCGCACAAAGAAAAGGGGTTTATTCCCGTGTTGTTTGTCCCTCTGCATTCTTCTGCGGTGACAAGCACCAGAGAGAAAAGACCTTTCGTTTTTTGCAGAATGTACAACAGTCCAAAGTCTTTCAGGAATGAACCCATGCAAGTGGAGAAAAATAGAGCCAGCCCCACGGAGCCACCACCGGTGGAATCGGACCCTGACCTCCTGGTTCATAGGTCAGCGCTCAGCCACCGAGCCACGCCGGTGGGCGCACATCAGTATTTCCGAGAGCATACACGGGGAACAGTGGGCAGCAGGGAGCTATCCGGAATCAGGCTGGGCGTGGGGAGAAGAGAGTACTGGGCAGAAGGGAGGGGGCATTGAAGTTGTTGTTTATTCTTTCCTACCACTTAGGGCAGTGGTTCTCAACCTGTGGGTCGCAACCCCAGTACGGCTAGGGACAGAACGGAGGGGGCATTAAAGTTGTTGTTCATTCTTTCCTACCACTTAGACCAGCGGTTCTCAACCTGTGGGTCGCGACCCCTTTGGGGGTCGAACGACCCTTTCACAGGGGTCGCCTAAGACCATCCTGCATATCAGATATTTACATGACGATTCATCACAGTAGCAACATTACAGTTATGAAGTAGCAACGAAAATAATTTTATGGTTGGGGGTCACCACAACATGAGGAACTGTATGAAAGGGTCGCGGCATTAGGAAGGTTGAGAACCACTGACTTAGGGTTTTTAAAGTGACAGGCAGGTGTTCGCGTTCCTATCTAAAAGCCTAGTTAAGTGTTAAGAGAACACCTACTTGCAACCAAAACTGGACGAAAATGCAAGCCCCCGACACATCTATTTTGGTGCTAACCCTCCCCGGGGTGGCGGGCAGGGCCTTTTCTCGCCAGCCCTTTGGAGGAGCTAAAATTGACCGCTGGAGAGCTGCCACGGAGGACTCTCTCCGACTATTAAAAGAAACTGGCTCAGGCCGGGGCCCCGAGAACTCGGTTTTCTGCGGCCACGGGCACCCAGCGACGTCCCTTCCAGCTACCGCCCCAGGGATTCCCAGCTCCGTCTTGCTCTTAGCCGAGGTCCCCCGGCTGCCCCCACGCCCCTGTGGTGTGTGCGGCCCTGGAGAGCTTCCCTATAGGAGCCCAGGCAGAATCATAAACATGATTCCGTTGGCATGTGGAGCGGGGCAGGCTCGCCTCTCTCTCTTCCTCTCCCCAGACACTGACCACGAGGCCCCTTGACTCCATCCCCGTGGCTCCTGCTGTCTTCACTCCAGGGAGTGGCTTTCCCGGCCGCCTGCTATTTGAAAAGCATCTCCAGTCGGCCCTTCAGGCCAGATCGGGGGTAGAGGGGGTGGGGGAGGGGAGAACTAATTAGGGCATTGCCAAGACCACTCAAAACAAGGGATATTGTTAGCATTTAAGAATATGAAATTCTGATGGTTCTAACACAGCCATGAGAGTTATGACCATCAACCTTGACGTGGAGTAGCCCCTATCATAACAAGTCTAGAGCTACCGCCCACTGCCCAGCCGGGGTGTCTCAGTGGTTGAGTATTGACCCATGAGCCAGAGCCAGGAGGTCACGGTTCGATTCCCGGTCAGGGCACATACCCGGGTTGTGGGCTCGGTCCCCAGTGTGGGGCGTGCAGGAGGCAGCCGATCCATGATTCTCTCTCATCATGGATGTTTCTCTCTCTCTCTCCCTCTCCCTTCCTCTCTGAAATCAGTAAAAACATGTTTTTTAAAAAAGCATATATATATATATAAAGTGTGCAGCTTAAATATCAGTTGTGGTTCCTATGTTTGGCCTAGTGTTTCTCTCCTTGAAACGCGTGGTATTTTGGTCTTTCTGTTTTCGGCAATTTATGGAGAGCTCCCTGCCCTCTCACGGTAGTGCCTTGTGTGACTTGGTGTTTTCTGTCTGTTTCTTCCTGTACCGCCCTACTTTCTGGCCCACGCGTGTCCTGTAGCGGGCGATCTGTAAGTACCTGTGTATCGGGTGAACGGACACACGTTACTCATAGACATTTGTAAAACTCCCCCTGCCTATAAGGCAGGTGAGAAGTGACTTTACTGTTTCATCCACGCATGTAATTTACATCTTTTTACTTGAAGCAATGCACTTTGTATTTTACTTGCAAGGATTCATTATTATTTCATGTCCCCCGGATCATAGGGTTGTGTTTTTTCCCAAAGGAATTGAAAAATCGGCTTTATTTTTGTGGCGGGGGGCTGGGGGGGAGGGAACCCCATGCTGAGCTGACCAGTGGGTGGAGGGTCAGGGCTGGCCCACTTCCTCTTCACAGTACTGGCCCCCCCCTTTTTTTTCTTTTTAAATCCTCACCTCAGGATATTTTTTCCTTTGATTACTAGAGCGTGGGAGGGAAGGAGGAAAGAGAGATGGAAGGGTGGGAGGAGGGGAGGAAAGAGAGAGAGAGAAACATCGACATGAGAGAGACATTGATTGGTTGCCTCCTGCACTTGCCCCTGCTGGGGCTGGGGGACCTGCAACCCAGATATGTGCCCTTGACCAGGAATCGAACCCACTACCCTTTCGTCCCAGGGTTGACGCTCTAACCACTGAGCAACCCCTCCAGGGCAGCACTGGCCCTTTTAAATCCATCTCCTTCCTCCTGGAGGCCCTCCCACCTCCTCTGCCCACACCCCTCTCCCAGGAGCAGAGCCTGTGAAATACTTTGCTTAGCGATGGGCCCTGGCCTCTGGCCGCAGCCGCGAGCCATCGGGTCTCAGCACCCAGTGCTTTCTCTCTCCCTCCACACAGCGCTGGTAAAATCCATCTCTCCCAAAGCACATCGTTGCCTCCACATCCATCACATTGGCCAGCGGGCTAGAATGTTCCTTGGCTTCCTTAACGCCATGAGAACAGTGAGTTCCCTGTCCCTGCTGCCAAGCATGGAAACCAGCCTGTTTCTTCTTCCCCCGGCGACAGGCGCATCTCATCGTCCTGAGCGCAGAGCCGTCCCGAGAGGAGGCAGCGGAGTCCGCGCACTGTGTCGCCCGCGCAGCCCTGGCTTCCGGGAGGCCCGAGCACCACGGTGAGAGCCAGCCTTCCGTGGCTGGGTGGCTGGGTGAGTGGTGGGCGCTGCCTGCTGCCCGCCTGGCCTGCACACATCTGGGCCTTTGGGATGGGCGAGCACGTGACGGAGCTGTGACGCAGGCCCTTCGGGGAGCGGCCGAGGCGTTAGCCAAGCATCTTAGCGTCACCAGGTCCTTGGTGTCTCCCTGTGCGGCCTTCCTCCAGGCTTTGGTTTTCAAATACAGCGGATCTGCACCCGAATGTAGGTGGTAAAGAGCCCGAGGGAACCCGGGCTGGGCGCCCAGGGAGGTCTGCTCTGCTTTCAGAGGCGATCAGTTTTGATCTTTGTTTATTTTTAAATATGTTTATCGATTTCCGAGATGAAAGGAGAGAGAGAGAGAGAGAGAGAGTAACATCATTGGCTCTCTCCTGCTTTCAGAGGCGATCAGTTTTTATCTTTGTTTATTTTTAAATATGTTTATCGATTTCAGAGATGAAAGGAGAGAGAGAGAGAGAGAGTAACATCATTGGCTCTCTCACATCCATGTTTCTCCCTTTCACCCTCTCTCTAAAATTCAGTGGAAAAAAATATCCTCGGGCAAGTCTTAACAGCAAAAAAGTTAAGGCCAATAAATACAAGGCAAAAATAAAAAAGACTAATTAATGAGGGAAACAAAATCTCCTTTGGGGCATCTTCCCTAGCCTGCCTGCTGATTGCCCATGCAAGGCATTGCCCTCCGATGAAAAAATGTCGCTGGCCCAGCAGCCAGCGCGCATCACGCTAATCCCTTCGCCCCGAGCCTCCCCCGCATTCCTTATGCAGACAGCACTGCCTAGAAGCCAGGCGGGACCCGGATTGCATCAGGCCTCCCCCGGAATGCCACGGACCGAGCCAGGCCGGCTTCCCAGGGCCGCCGTTGACAAACTTGGTATCAACAGCTCTCCCAGCCCCTCCTGCCAGGGGGTCAGGGCTCTTAACTCTCCTCGAGAAGGATGTGAGGATGAAGTGGGTGGAAGCCAAGTACATGTCAGTGTAAACCTTCCAGCGGCCGAGCACGGGCGGCCTTGTTTGGAAGTGGCCCCATCTGCCTCCGGAGCTCCAGGGGGCCGGGCAGCGCCAGGCACATCCAAACGGCACGGGCTCTGCCCCATCGGAGGGGTGTGTCCCTGGCTCCATGAACCGGACTCATGAGCGTGGGGTACATTCTTTTTTGTTTGTTTTTTTTAAACCCTCACCCGAGGATATTTTTCCATTGATTTTTTAGAGAGAGTGTAAGAGAGGGAAAGACAGAAACGTCGATGTGAGAGAAACACATCAATTGGTTGCCTCCTGCACGTGCCTCGACCAGAGCCCGGGCCAGGGAGGGGCAGAGGAGGGCCTGCAACTGAGGTACGTGCCCTTGACCAGAATCGAACCCGGGACCCTTTGGTCCACAGGCCGATGCTCAGTCCACTGAGCCAAACCGGCCAGGGCTGGGGTGCATTCTTGAGGTATAGCTCCCTGTGCACCAATATGTTCCCGGCCCCAACGTGGCCTAGCCTCTCCCCACATTTTGCACAGTAGACGGGAAATATGAAAGTATCAGAACCGAGGCCCTGGATCCTGATGAAGTCTCCTCTATTTCACCCTACACACGCCTCCCTTTTCTCCACTCTTCCTCCTGTGGCCTGCCTTCTCCGCTGGCCCCAGGCGGGGCCCGGCTCCCTGTTGTCTGGGTTACTGATGCTCCTTGCGTCCCGTGTGCCCTAGAGACACCGGAAGTCAGGCAGCCCCTGGCGTCCTCGTGCACTCAGCTCCGATGGGCTCCTGACAGGTGCCCTTCACCTCTTCCCATGGCCCTCCTCAGCTACCCCTGCTGCTAGACACCATGGAAGCCAATACTGGCCACACTCCCACCTCTCTCCCCTCCTCCTCCTCCCTCCCCTCTCCTTCCTCCCTCCCCGGCCTCTCCACCCTCTTGACCCCCCTGTGCTCTGAGAGGGCCTCCCTCAGCTCCTCCTCAGGGCCCATCTCTCCTTATGAAATGCCCAGCCAGCCCGAGCCTGGCCTGCCTCTGAGCTGCCCAAGCAGATGTCAGCATCCATATACACTTTTTAAATAGATTTTTATTGATGTCAGAGAGGAAGGGAGAGAGAGAGAGACGTCCATGATGAGAGAAAATCATGGATCGGCTGCCTCCTGCACGCCCCACACTGGGTGGGGATCGAGCCACACCCCAGCCCAGCCCTGCGATGCCCTCGGGGCACGCCCAGCAGGATCTAAATGGGTTCAGTCTGCTTGCTGGGTGATGTGCTCCTCGGGGTTCATGCCAAGCTGGGCTCTAAGACTTTCCATTTTCAAGTTCCCTGGGGTCCTTAATGCTTTAGTACAGAGTGCATAGTCTTTCCCAAGACCATCACAAAAGACCATTGTTGCCTGCTACACACAGGCCTCCCTTTAAGTGAAAGCTGCCCAGAGAGTTACAGGAATTGTTGTTGGTGGTTTAATCTATTTTTTAAATATATTTTAATTGATTTCAGAGAGGAAGGGAGAGGGAGAGAGAGAAACATCCATGATGAGAGAGAACCACGGATCGGTTGCCTCCTGCCCGCCCCCTACTTGGGGATCGAGCCCACAACCCAGGCCTGTGCCCTGATTGGGAATCGAACCGTGACCCCCTGGTTCCCAGGTTTACACTCAACCACTGAGCCACGCCTGCCGGGCTACAGGGATTGGTTGTAATTAAAGCCTCGTGGCCCGCCGTGTGCCGAGTCGTGACGCTGTATTCCTCATGCTCTCTGAGTGAAGTCACACAGACGGAACAGAGTCTGACGGGGCTGTGAGGGGACCGTACACCACGGGGCCGCACTTCCTCCCTCCCTCGCCCTGACGTGCAGACAGCCTGGCCAGTCTACGGGAGTGAAAAGGGGAGAAGATTGATGGCCTTGACCTGTGCCCCGAGGGCTCAGGTTTACAGCTAAGTCATGTTCCCCTGCTTAGGAGAGTGACTCATCCACTGCCCAGGCCAGGGCCTCGGGTTGCTGAGGATTCTAAAAAAATCTTAGAGCCCTCCTTAGCTGCCCCTGCTGCTAGACACCATGGAAGCCAATACTGAAGGTGTTTCGGTGGTGGTGGTGGTGTTTTTTTATTGAGGGTTGTGTTTGTTTAAAATATTTTAAAAATATATCTTTATTGATTTCAAAGAGGAAGGGAAAGGGAGAGAGAGATGGAAACATCAATGATGAGAGAGAATTATGGCTCAGCTGCCTCCTGCACGCCCCCTGCTGGGCATCGAGCCCACAACTGGGAATCCAACCGGTGACCTCTTGGAATCAACCGCTGAGCCACACCAGCCGGGAAAGATCCTTGCTCTTCAGGGAGGGCTTGGTTCCGTTCTTCGGTTCATTTCCAATTAGACAGAAAACAGAACTCTCCGGCATACTCCACTCGCTGGTGTTGAGACGTGGAATGTCGGTGTCGGTAATGCCTTCAGAGCCAACAGAACAAATGCCACGTCATCCGATCATCGACGCAGGCAAAGTGAACGCAGAGTTTGAGCATTAAATTGCGATGAGTCAGCTGCAACTAAAAGGGAAGGAATACCTTCCAGGCAGCTGAATTTTCTCCTACCAAGAGAAAAAAACAAATGGAGTAATACTTTAGAAATGTAGAAATGTACAGACACCACCACCACCCCCACCCCCGCATTGGCTCAGTGGATAGAGCGTCGGTCCTCGGACTGAGGGGTTCCAGGTTCGATTCCTGGTCACGTGCACGGACCTCTATAAAATTCAGTGGAAAAATATCCTCGGGTGAGGATGAACAGAAAAGAAAAGAAAAAAGAAAAGAAAAGAAAAGAAAGAGGAGTCTCTTTTAGCAGCCTGCAAACTTGCTGATATCTTGCATGACCGCCTCCCTGGGAGAGCTAAGCTGTCTGAAAAAAGCGAGGAAAGTAAATGGCCGTGTCCTTCTGAGATCCGAATCTTTTCTGATGAAACAGGCAGCTGAACGGGCAGACGGCAGTCTCCCCAACAGGGTTCTCTTACCCGAGTGCTTATTATTTTCAAATAGTTCGCCGCGCTACTAGCGTCTCTGTGGTTTCCATTCAAATCCGCGAGCCGTTTTCACAGTTGTTGTCGTGATGCTTTGCTTCAGATGTGGCCGAGCGGTACTTCCGAGAGAGCCTGGCTCACCTGAAGGATGCGGAAGGGATGGGGAAAGCCAAGTTTCTCTCGGTTCAAGACGAATATTGCCATTTTCTGCAAGGCGCTGGGCAAGAGGAGGTGAGTGAGCTTGGGCCACAGTTGGCCGGTTATCTGCATGGGCGACCCAGTTGATAGCCACAGGGCTACGCAACTCCCTTGCTCTGCGAGCATCCAGTAGGCGTCTACTTTGTGCGAGGCATGGATGAGTAAGGCCATGTGGCCACTGTCGGGCAGTGAGTTACATCATTTTCTTTCTTTTTAAATATATGTATATTTTTATTTCAGAGAAGAATGAAGAGGGGGAGAGAGATGGAAACATCAATGATAGAGAATCATTGATTGGCTGCCTCCTGCACGCCCCCTACTGGGGATCGAGCCCACAACGGGACATGTGTCCTGACCGAGAATCAAACCATGATCTCCTGGTTCCCAGGTCCACGCTCGACCACTGAGCCACACCAGCCGGGCTACCTCATTTTCTTAATGGGCACTGATCTTCGTCAGCTTTAGAACATGTTTAACCAGACAGCCTTGTGTCCCTTTCGCAGAGAGCGACCTCGATCCTGAGGGAGTCCCTGGAGGCCAAAGTGGGGGCGTTTGGTGATCTCAGTCCTGAGGTGGCAGAGACCTACCGGCTCCTGAGCGGCGCCGACCTGGCGCAGGGGAACCACGGCGGGGCCCACAAGAAACTGAACAAGGTAACCTGGAGCCGACACTAATGCAGAAAGAAGCCCTCCTCCCCTCCCTCCCTCCCTCCCTCCCACGGGTCGTCTTCTCTCCCTCCCCATGCTCTTTTAACTTTTATATTTTTAAAAATATACTTTGTTTGATTTCTGAGAGAATGGGAGAGGGAGAGAGAGATAGAAACATCAATGATGAGAGAGAATCATGGATCGGCTGCCTCCTGCACGCCCCACACTGGGGACCGAGCCCACAATCCGGGCATGTGCCCTGACCGGGACTTGAACCGTGACCTCCTGGTTCATAGGTCGAGGCTCAACCACTGAGCCACACCGGTCAGGCCACCATGCTCTTTTTAAATGGACCTTTCTAAGTGGTTTATTTAGGAAAGATTACTTCACTTGCACAGTTGTTCTAAACTAACACTTTTTCGGTAAAAGATACAGTAATCCTCTTATACATTATATATCTTTTAATGAATTACCAATTATTTTTACTATGTAAATACATTTTTAATTTTTATGGAGTTTAATTTATCTGTCTTTTATTGTACTCTCTGTGCACACAGTTTATAGAGGAATTTTTTTGTGTTCTTCTAGTACTTATATATTTAGTTCTTTTTTTATTTGAATGCATTGGGGTGACATTGGTTAATAAAATTATGTAGGTTTCAGGGGTACAATTCTATAATACATCATCTGTACATTGTATTGTATGGGCACACCAAGTCAAGTCTCTTTCCATCACCAGTTTCTTCTTGAATTTGGAGTTCATTTGCATGGATGGTGTGAGGTACAGATACAGTGTTTTTTGTTTTCTAACTGGCTACCCAGTTGTCCAGCACCATTTTATTAAAGAGCCCAGTGGTCTGAGATAACACCTTCACCATAGACCACATTTCCACATGAACTTGAGTCTGTTTCTGGATTTCTCTTCTACTCCACTGATGGCTTTGTTTGTGTAAATGCCAGTTCCTCGTTGGTTTTAAATTTAGAGATTTCATTGCAGGGCTCAGTAGCTGGGAGGACTAGACACCACTCGTGGTTTCTCTGACTCTAGAATATCTGGTTTCCCAGGTCTTCTAGCCTGTGTGTGTGTGTTTGTTTTTCCACATGAATTTTAATGTGAACAACTTGTCTCGCTAAATACAAACTTTGATGGTATTTTCTGGAGGATGGTGTTATTTATAAGTGAACTTAAGGAGCGCTGACAGCTTTATGGTGTGGAGTCATTTTATTCCAGAGCAGGGATGTCGTTACACTTGCTGGTGTCCGCTTTGGTATCATTTAGGCCCGTTTCTAAAGTGCCCCTTTATCCTGGGTTTTGCACAATTCTTACCCGGTTGATTTCTAAGCATGTTATCTCCTTTAATACTGTTGTCTGTGGAGTTGTATCCACTGTCATGTCTTCCGACTGGTCACTTTTGTGTATGTGAAGACGACCGGTTTCTCTGTGTGAATTTTATGTGCTGCTGCTTGCTTAATGCTTTTCCTGCCTGAGTTAATTGGAGCATTCTCTCAGGTTTCCAGGGTATCCTATTACTTCATCGGCAAATGGTTTGACTTTTTGTTTTTCAGCTCTGGTGGCTCTGCTTGATTTCTCTTATCTAATCGCGTCGGCTCCTCCCTCCAGGACAATAGGATGGTAGTGGAGGTAGTGGGCGCCCTTGTCTTGTTCCTGATCTTAGTGGACATGCCTCTAGACCAGTGATGGCGAACCTTTTGAGCTCGGCGTGTTAGCATTTTGAAAAACCCTAACTTAACCCTGGTGCCGTGTCACATATAGAAATTTTTTGATATTTGCATCCATAGTAAAACAAAGACTTATATTTTTGATATTTATTTTATATACTTAAATGCCATTTAACAAAGAGAAATCAACCAAAAAAATGAGTTCGCGTGTCACCTCTGACACGCGTGTCATATGTTTGCCATCACTGCTCTTGTGAGTCTTCATTCAGTAGATGCTGGCTTTGGGACTAAGGTTTATTATGTATTTTTATCATGTTAAGGAAATAGACATCCTGTGGTTTTTTGTGTTTGTTTGTTTTTAATTAGAAATAAGTGTTGGATTTTATCAAATGTTTTTTTAGCATTGGTGGAGATAATCAGATGACTCTTCTTAGATCACTTCATATGGTATATTTTATTCTAGTATTAAACCAACCTTGCATTCCTGGAATAAATGTGCTTGGTTATACTGAATTATAGTCTTAATATGAGGTTGGTTCTGCCTGCTAATGTTTATTTTACGATTTTTGCACCAATATTTATAAGTGATATTTAAGTATCAATGTTATATTTGCTTCATAAAAATAATTTGGAAGCTTACCTTTATTTTCTTTTTTTTTTAACTTTTTTATGGAATGTATTGGGGTGACGTTGGTTAATAAGATTATGTAGGTTTCAGGGGTGCGGTTCTCTACTGCATCATCTCTATTGTATTGTGCGCTCACCACCCCACATCAGGTCTCCTTCCTTACCTTTATTTTCTATGCCCTGAAGGAATTTATGCAGCATTAAAACTATCGAGTGCTTGGAGTTTTGCACTTCCTGTGAAACTCTTTAGGTCTGGTGCTTCTTTTAGGGGGAAATTCCTTGACAATCTTCTCTATTATACAAAAAAAATTTGATGTGTTGAAGCTTTCGATCTTTAATGGGGTCATTTTGGTGTATTTTTCTAGGTAATTATCTCATTTACATTTTCAGATTGATTTGCATAGAGATTTGCAACATAGTCTCATGAATTTTTAAAATTTCTACCTTTTAAATAGTTGCATTCCCATTATAACATCTTAGTTTTACATTTGGATTTCTCTTCTTTTTTTTCTGGACTGGGTTGGGAGGGAGGGGGAGTAGGGAGAGGTTTAGGGAAGGTGTTTAATAAGTAGTCCTGAAAAAGAGTGTAGGCTGGGGGAGGCCAGCATCCCCAGGTTGGAAGTGGGGTGAAGAGGAGGCTGGGGGGCTGGAGAGTACAACCCATTTAAGAAGCAGAGTGACTGGGGAGGACTGTCTGTCGGGGAGCACCCAGAAGAGGTGGGCAAGGCTCTGGGCGGAGTTCCTAGGTTAAGGGGCTGAGACTTGATCCTTCAGGTGACTGTCCCAACCATGGGCTCTGAGGCCAAATCCAGCCCACTCCCTCGTATGACCCATGAGTTTGCTCTTTTTTTTAAATCTCTTTTTAATATATATTTTTATTGATTTCAGAGAGGCAGGGAGAGGGAGAGTGAGAAACATCCATGGTGAGAGAGAATCATCGATCGACTGCCTCCTGCATGCCCCCTACTAGGAATTGGGCCGGCAACCCGGGCATGTGCCCTGACCGGGAATCAAACCGTGACCTCCTGGTTCCTAGGTCCACGCTCAACCACTGAGCCACACCGGCCGGGCTGGCCCACAAGTTTAAAATGGTTCCTACCGCCCGGCCGGCTGGAGGGGGATCCTGCCGTGCACCCATGACGCATCTGTCCTCTGAACATTTGTGTTGCAGTTGTCCTGGCGAAAGATGATGGTAGCTTGCTCCATGACAGTGGCCAGGGGATGGAGCAGAGTCGTGGGGGAGTCGAGGGGTGTCGATAAGGATAGAGAGCTCACGGCACTTGGCAACGCAGAGGTGAGGAGTGAGGGTGTGGCCAGGATGGCACCCAGGCTTCCCAGGCTTGGGGAGAGCAGTGGAGTGAGTGGCAGCGCCTGTGGGCCCCCCCCCACCCACACACACCTTTCTTGCTCATCTCCCGTCCCTTGTTCCCACCTTACCTGTTTTCCTCTCACGGGAACCTTCCTACCCTCCTGTGCACAGCTCAGAATTAGTGCTCCTCCAGGTAAGAGAGCTGCAGGGGGGGTGGGGTGTGCATGTGAGAGAGGAAGAGAGAGAGAGAAAAGCACCTGCCTGAAACCCCACCCCCACCATCACCTCCCACCAGGTGCTCCTCACCTGGCTGACCCCCCTCCCCATCCTTCACGTCTCCATTTGAATGTGAGGCTTCACCGGTCCAGGTACCTCTACCACCATCGACCTCCCCTCATTTTATTCTGTCAGTCCATGTTCTTTTTCTTTTTTTTAAATTAATTTATTTAAGATTCATCTGGATACTCAGGATTTCAGGGTTTTGTCCACTTAAAAGAAAAGTGAGGAACTCCCCCTCGAGGCTGGTTTCCAACAGGGGCTTCCCTGGAGGAATCGAGAAAGCCCAGAAAACCTCCCACGTGGCGGGAGCTGTTCTCCCGCAGGCGTCTGGGGCTTCGTTTACTTCGGCACAGTGAGCTGTTCCCAGCGCCTGGCTCCCCGTCGGTCCCATTAACATCTACTGGCTTTGTCTCCGAGTCAATGTCAGTGTCAAGGTCTTTATCAGAAGAATCCAAGTGCATCCTTCACACCCAATGCTTTAAAGCACATTTCGCTAAGAGCAGCAGAACATCGAAAAATCCAACTTCTGGTTCTTAGAGTCACGTGGCTACTCAGCTTCGGACTCAGCTGCCCAGCTTCGTAAAACACTTTCCGGGAAAAGCCAGGAAGGGGTTATGTCGCTTTAGAAGGAAAACGATTTCCGTTCCCGGATGGACCATGTTTCCTGTCTTGGCCTCCGTGGGCGCTGTCATCACACAGGGATGACGCCGGGGCCGGGGGTGTTCCTCTCTCTCCTGGCCGACATCCCTGGGCATCTCTCTCGCATCAGCTAGAACTTTGAGCAAATCTGCTTAGTGAGGATAAGTAGCCCTTTTAAAAAAGAAATCGATTAATTCCAGGAAGATAAGAGTCCGGATCGGCGTCGAGGAGATGGGAGGGAGCTGGGGCTCACTTCTCTCTGGGCTGATTCTTGGAAAGGGTCGTTTTATCCAATCAGGATCCACTCTCCCTCCTAACACAGTGCCCGCAGGGAAAACGATGAGCGCCCAAGGTCAAGGGTAGAGGGAGCGACAACTGATAGGATACCATCAGCTGCCTTCTTCTGGGGGGTGGGCGCCTGAGCTCACTGCCTGATAGAAGACATAAAACATGACGAGTCCATATCAGCGTCGAGGAGATGGGAGGGAGCTGGGGCTCACCTCTCTCTGGGCTGATTCTTGGAAAGGGTCATTTTATCCAACCAGGATCCACTCTCCCTCCTAACGCAGTGCCCGCGGGGAAAACGATGAGCGCCCAAGGTCAAGGGCAGAGGGAGCGACAACTGGTAGGATACCATCAGCTGCCTTCTTCTGGGGGGTGGGTGCCTGAGCTCACTGCCTGATAGAAGACATAAAACATGACCCCCAGGAAGTGCCCGCTTCTGCCCCTGCCCACCCCATACCGGATGACATCATTCCCACACTGTATTTTACTATGGTTTTCTTTTACGTGTTTTTTTTAAGCTTCATATAAAATATACATATAATGTGCCTATATTATCTATAATTTGCATTCACCTGCAATTTGCTCTTTTCTGCCTATAATCTTGAGATTCATCTACATGGACACACACACCAGAAATGTGCATGATATCAAGCATGTACAGTCCATGTGCATATTACAGGTTGCTCATCCATTAGCCGAATCGCCGAATGGCTCTGTCACTCTCAGTCTATCTGAAAGCGTGCTTGCTCATGCGTGTTCTTTGACAGACCTTGGTTTTCCGTGATTAGACGATTCGTTTTGCAATCCGGCAGGTGAAAGGCAACCTCAGAGTTTTAGGTTGGGTTTCTGGTTACTGGTGAGGTTGGGCATGCTTGTCCGCTGTTCTGGTTTTCCAGGTCTTTGAATCATCCTTTTATATCTTGTGCTCACTTTTCCGTAGGGAGGTTGTGTTCGTTTCTCTCATCACCTTGGGGGAGTTCTTGATCTATTCTGAATGTTAATCCTTTCTCCGATTTGTGCAATGTTTCCCCCCAGTCTGTATCCTTTGCTTAAGGTGAATTTTGGTGCACAGGTATTTTGAGTTCTAATGTAGTTAAATTTTATTAATCAAATCTTTGGGTTTGTCCAGATCTTGTCCAAGAACTACTTCTGCATAAAGATCGTCTCTGATATTTTCACCTAAACGTTCCACGTTTTGCATTTCGTATTTAGCTCTTCCATCTGCCCGAGATTCACTGTTGGGCTTGGTAATGGGGCAGGGGTCCATTTCCTTCCGGTTCCATTCATTGACGAGTCCAGCTCTCCCTCACCGACCCCTCAAGGTCACTTCTCTCCTGTCATCTGTCATGTGTTGGGCTCTCTGCTATGTCCCATTTGTCTACTTGTCTGCCCCTGGATGAGAACTGCACTGCCTTCGTTACTATCTATCTATAAAAATGAAAACATACTATGCTAATTAGACCGAATGTCCTTCCGGATGACCTTCCACACAAAGCCGGGACTTCGAGGGAAGCCCGGGTCCCGGGTGCCAGAGGGAAGCCAGTGCTGGCAGCCGGGGGAAGGAAGGCCTACTCTTGCAGGAATTTCATGCATCGGGCCTCTAGTAGTTTTATAAAGATGGAGACGGTAAAGCAGTTTCTTCCACCTCCTTCTTCTTCAAAATTACTTGGCCCGTTTGGGGGCACAAATTGAATCTTTATCTTCCCCCTGAGTTTTCCCTGGCCAGGTACAAGCAGTCAAGTGGCAGGATAATAAGCAGAATAAAGCTGAATCTTTAACTCCTCAATAAATGACTCCCTAGGAAATTGCTGTGTGGTAATGATTACAGAAAGCCCATGGAAAATAAAACAATAGTTTATTGATTTTGAGAGTGAGAGGAAGGGAGAAGACAGAATCATCGCTGTGAGAGAGTGTAACATGGATCGGCTGCCTGCTGCACATCCCCTCACCCCCTACTGGGGATCCAGCCCACAACCCGGGCATGTGCCCTGACCTGGGAATCGAACCTGCCACTTCTGGGTGCACAGGACAACGCCCAACCAGCTGAGCCACACTGGGCAGGGCACAGAACTTTTTTTCTTTTTTAACGTGTCTGGGCTGTAGTAAGGGTCATTTAAATTAGAAACTGCACACCATCCTCTCCTGAATACCAATTCTCTTGCCTTTATTTTTAAAAATATTACTTTTTAAATATATTTTTGCATACAGGTTGTCACAGAGGGTTCTGTAAAAACAGTGCTAGAGCAGTACACTTGTTTCCAGGATCCCTCGGAACATCCAAGTTGAAGGTCAGACTGCCCCTAGCATTCACAGTGAAGGTCAGACTGTCCCTAGCATTCACAGTGGAGGTCAGACTGCCCCTAGCATTCACAGTGAAGGTCAGACTGCCCCTAGCATTCACGGTGAAGGTCAGACTGCCCCTAGCATTCATGGTGAAGGTCAGACAGGGGTCTGTGACTGAAGCATTCTTTCTCCCATTCTCGGGAGCCTTGTCCGCCTGCTGCACGCTCCCCGTGACGTTTCACACTCTCACGATGACTGCTTGGTGTTCTGCAGTGTCTCCAGATTCAGACCCTCCTGTACGGACCGCAGGACAGGCGGACGCTGGCCACCCAGCAGGCCCTGGACGTCCTGTCCAAGTGAGTCAGCGTTCCCTCGCTGTTCCCCTGGGCACCTTGCTCCTCGGTCGTCCGGAACCCCCCAGGAAGCCGGGTCTGTGGGGTTCTGGGGGACTGTCCATGCGTGGAGAGCTGTACCGACTTCCTGTTACTCAGACACCAGGCAAGACCAGCTCATCAGAAGCCCAGCTGTAAAATACCTTCCGCTGGAACCTGCCCAGGGCTCCTCTGTGCTCTTGGGGTGCCTGTCGGGATGGGAGCCCGAGAGCCCTCTGACTTCACGCACATCTTTAAGATTGAAATTCTGATATTTTATTTTTTAATGTATTTTTGATTTCAGAGAGGAAGGAAGAGAGAAAGAAACATCAATGATGAGAGAGAATCACTGATTGGCTGCCTCCTGCACGCCCCCACACGGGGGATCGAGTCCACAACCCGGGCCTGTGCCCTGACCGGGGTCAAACTGTGACCTCCCGGTTCACAGGTTGACGCTCAACCCTGAGCAAAGCCAGCCGGGCCCCCCACATCTTTCTTAGGAGGCCCCAATTCTGCTGTGGCAGCTCCCCACCTCGCAGAGCCTGTGCTCCCAGAGGGCCCGTGGACCCGCTGCCAAATCCGCACTCATGGGAGCTCCCGATGCGGACACAGCCAGCAGGGGGCGCTGTTCTGCGCTCCAGGCCCCTTACCCCAGGGGAGATGAGAAACTAAGGCAGGGGTGGGGAACGTCTGGCCCGCGGGCCATATAAGGCCCAGGAAATCCTTTCGTCTGCCCCTGCCAAGGCATTAAGGATGAGTTAATTAAATGCTGGACCCAGTATGGCAGGCTCATGTTCAAGTGGATCATTCTGTATGGCCCACGAAGGATGCTATAAACATCCAGATGGCCCTGGACAGAGAGAAGGTCCCCACCCCTGCACTGAGGCCTCCAGCCCAACCTTCCTGCTCGGGTTCAGCTAACCTCAGGGTTGACTCTCAGCTCGAGGAAAGGGTCACAGGGATGAGAAAGCTCCAGAAAGCACCTTGCCTTCTAGGTCCCTGAGCCACGGTTCTCCTCCCACCCGCATCCCCTCCGAGGCTCCTCCATGAAATGGAACCGGGCAGCTGCTGGGCTGTCCCACAGCACCGGGGGGTGGAGGGGCAGGGGTCCGAGGGGCACCCCACTCACCACCCTCCGCTTGCTCGCAGGGCCCCCGAGATGGCCACCGTGAAGCTGAGGTCGGGCCCGAGG